TGTAGATTGTAAAGTTTGATTCAGGCTAGAATCTCAGTTCTAAAACAGTCATAACATCATGGGGCAGTTGACATGTGCATAGGATGCAATGTGGGAGAGAAATTATCTTAAAGCTGAGAAAGCATTTTTAAGGCAGAATAAAATAGGATAAATTAGTGAAGAAACTGAACTGTAGCTTAAGAGGATATATGTTAAATCAGTAGCTTCTGTTTAAATTATAAGTTGGATCTAAGCAGTTTACTTGGCATTTATCTTGTTTTCTTAAGATTATGTACGAGTCATGGACATGGGACTGTTGGAACTGACCATAAGAACAGCGAAACCTGGATCTGATGGAGAGAGAGTAAGGATTTAAATTAAAATAATAGAAGCTAATTTTTATATTGTTGTTCTTTTACTTTTTTTAAAGTCATGATAAGAGTTAAGGTCTGATGCTGAGTGTACTTGAGCATAAGTTCATTTGAAAATAATAGAATTCATTTCCAGACTAATACATGTTTAAAACATTCAAAGAAATGAATGAGTAAAACGTCATTTCAGTTGGACATGCATTGACTTGGGCAATCAAACAGGCTTGGTCATTTCCTAAATGCATGTGTTTAATTCCATCACCATGCATTTTTCTTGAATCAGTTCTGAATGAACCTTATATTGGTGTCAAACATGGTCTTGATTTATCTTCTATTGCTTAGAGTAAACCACGCTTTGAACTACATTGTTCCAGTGACGTAATCCACATCCGAACATGCTCTGATTCTTGTGCTGCATTAATGAATCTTATCCAGTATATTGCAAGTTACGGTGATTTGAATCCACCTGCTAAGACAGATGCTACCTCAGGAATGACCAAACAAAATGCAAAGGTATGGAGATGTCTCTTTCCCAGCCATCACCTTTTAACATTTTGACTTTGTTCACAGTAATGCAAACTGTTACTCAGAACTTTTGGAAAGCCTATTTCATGGTTTTTACTTGCTTAGGAACATGTGATTAGGGGGAGGCACTGATATTTTGTAGTTTAAGTTGCCTTTGTATTTCATTTTAGCCTGTTTTTCTACTGCTTTCTCTTATTCTTTAAAAAATGCTTGCTTGATTGGATAATAATGAATAATGTTTGTGCGCTACAAGTAAATGCTTCACTCAACATGTGACACTTAAATCACTATTAGATACTATTATTGTGTGTGTAATTTATGATTTTAAGTGTTGTTTCATGAACTAACTGGAAAATATTAACTGTTGGGTGGTATAGCTATGTAGTAATAATAATAATTGGGAGGATTGGCTGACCTTACCCAGTAAGGGTTATATACTTCCATTCCTGTATATTAAATCAACAGGACATCCTGAGCAAGGCTTAGTGCCTACTTTCCCTACATCAAATTTGGAAGGAATGGGTTGTGTCCAGCAACACTGCTGTGCTTTCCACCTAATCTGATGTACAAGTGAGACTCTCAGTTCACACAACTTAAAGCAACAGTTCAAAGAACAACCCTGTTGCTTGTTTACAGCTTAGTATAGTTCACTGGAGCTTGCTTCTGCAAGTTTCACTAATCTGCCCCATTTCAGAAATGGGCATTTCCACTTGTTTCTGGCTGTCCTGGAACTGTTCCTCTTGTACAAGTAGAGGGACCTGTTAGTATGTGGGGAATGTTTGGATACTCCAAAAACCTTTATAACTAAGCCTTGATGTGTATCACTACCACATATATTTATCAAGAACAGTTCTGAGTTTCTTTTATGTAAGTTTGAGTTGGTGCAATCTTTGTTTTTTAGGCAGATGTTTCTAGCCGGCAATCTTCTCAAGGGCCAATCCTTGCTGAAGCTGACCAACAGATTTTACGGGATTTAATGAGCGATGCAATGGAAGAGATTGAAACCCAGCAGCTTACTTCCCCCACTAAACAACAAGTCAATGGTAGAACTTTACCATCTCTACCAAACTTTATAGATTTCTTTTAGTTTCAAATGGATGCCATTTAAATGGATATTGTTTAACATACAGTACCACATGAATTCACATCGAACCGTTAAATACAATCCCTTATGCTTATATTTTATATGTCTAATTTGATTGTATTATAATACTGGAAAAAACTATTAATGGTTTCCATAGGTAAAAGTTTATATGTTGTTTTTACTTTCAACTGTTATATCCTTTCCTTGGAAATGCTGAAGGTAGCTAAGAAAAAATACATTAAAAATTAAAATGTCAACCAAGTCAAATAAAAGAGCAGGCAAATAAAAATTCAAATAATGTTCAGGAGATTACAAATGTAAACAGTTAGCAAATCAAATGCTTGACAGAACAATCAAGTTTTTACATTTTGTTAAGATGCTACCAGTGAGGGAATGAGATGGTCTTCCCTAGGAAGTGAGTACCAAAGGTTAGGCATGGCAACTGAAAAAGCCCTGTCCTTCAGCTCACTAATGCAATTCAAGAAGTTGGTGGATTGTGTTGGAGAGCCTAGTCCCAAACAACTTAACTGTTAGGTTCATATAGGAGAAGGTAATCATTAAGAGACCCTTTTCAGTATTTTATATTGGGGCAGGGTGTCGTGCTATTTTCCCCAGAAACATACACACACATATACATACAAGCTAATGTATATTAAACATTAATGAGATGTGTGAAAAGGTATCTTTGGTTGGTTAGGACAACAGTTGAAACAGAATTTTACTTTAAATAGTCCTGTGCTTCCTGATGCTGTGGGTTGACATTTGACTATTTCTCCTTATAAGGCAAAATGTATCCTTGGGTACAATTAATAAAAACATTTTATTATGGGCTTTGTTCAGGCAGGAGCCTAAAGCATAGTTCAGCATTATAAGAATTAGCCTAGTTTCTCTCCAGACTCTAGTGCAACTGCATGTGCAGTTTTTAAACGAGGGCAAGCAACTCCATGTTCTTGAGACAAGCCAACTGTAAACCACAGTTTATGAAACTTGCCTGTTTCAGCTAAGTGTAGTAAAGATTAACCACAGTTTAAATGAGATGTGAAAGCATGGTTAAACTAAAACTGAACTTCTGATCTCCGTGCAGCTTGCCAGAGGACCATGGTTTAGCATTATGTCCAAATGCAACCGATCTTTTGTGGGCAGCATGAAAATACTTCTAGGCAAATTTCTTGTTTCTCTTTTACCAGGAATTTTGGATGAAAAGACTCAGACACCAGCACCATCTTGCTCAGACCTTTTCCTGTTTCCTGATGAAAGTGGGAACCTGTCTCAAGAGCCAAGCCCCACTTATGCATCGTTCACACCAAATATGATTAATGAAGCTATAGGAGACATACCTGCTGAAAATGACGACTTCTGTATTCTCTTCGCACCAAAAGCTGTTGTCCCTGTAAGAAATGTCTGATCTTAAGAAATTTAAATAAAAATGATAAAGGTACATTTTGAGAAACATAGGTTAATTTATTTGCTGATCACCTGTTGCACAAATGCACAATAAAAGCTTCCACTAGAAGTACTCTTAGTCAGCTTGTAACTGAATTTTCTGCTTTACATTCCCCAGTTCTAACTCAGAATCTAACAAATTAGGATGTTGCCTAAGGAAGCTGATGCTATTTTGTATTTAAAAAGTAAATCTCAATGTGCCTTCAAACAGTAGGAAAAATCAAGTAAAAATCTAGTTTTGTCACTTTAAATCAAACTTATAAATGGGTGGTGGGTGGATGCAATTAATGTGTGTGCCCTTCATATCCTGTAACTTTTTAGGATAAGGAAGAAGAGCCAGTAGTGAAAACAATGGTTGATGATGCAATCCTGATCAAAGAGAACCATTTCAGCCTGCCAGTAAAAAAGGCAGATACAAGCAAAGCACCATTGCGTTTTCCAGTTCCTTTGGTACGCTATGTTGTCAAAGAAATATCACTCATTTGGCACCTTTATGGGGGAAAGGATTTTGGGAATATACCACCTACATCTCCAGCTAAAAGTTATATGTAAGTTCCTCAGGTACCAGTTCATTACCTTTTTGTATAGGAGCTGTGATTGACACTTCAGAATAAAGAGTTGGATGAGCTAATGTGTTTTTTAAAAAATCAATTTATTTGACAATCAGTACCTTTTCTTCTGGGACATTGTTACAATCTCAGTTAGTTTTCCTAGTACCTACATCTGAATTAATGCTGAAAGTTGCTTAAGTTAGATAGTAAACTTGATAGGGTTTTTGTTTGTCTCATTTTGGATTTCCTTGTAACATGGTGTTAGTAAAGTGAAAAGTAATAAAGGCAGGCTAGTAGTACTAAACTTGTAGTACATACGTTTATTCTGAAAGGAATTTTTTAGAGAATAGATATTTTGCTAATAGTATGGAATGTTTTGTCCATTGTGTTATAGCTTTTTGCAAAAGGAAAATACATTCTGGAAAACTGTGGTAGCAGGTTCAGTTAGTTCCTTTGGTTACTAGGAAAATTTAATTATGAAATTATTGTGGGTTGCTGTTGTGAGTCAAATGATCATTTTAAACAGAAAAGTAATATCCTTCCTCTTATCACAGTAGTCCTCAGAGCTCTCCTTCTCACACACCAACAAGGCATGGACGTAACACAGCCTGTGGGGGGAAAGGAAGGAACCCAGATTTCTTGATGGAAATACAGTTAAGTAAGGTAAGAGTGGAAGTGAAACATTTACAGTTCATTGAATGTTCATTTGGTGCCATGAGAACTTAGAGTCCCCCCCCCCTGCAGTGTTAACATCTGAACCATTTCACATCTAGTATGTGTTTTAAGATTGTGTTCCAATAATACAATGATTTCCTCAGTAAGTTTTAATTAATGATGGCAATAGTTTTTCCAATTATCTTCAATATATCTGCTTTGTGGATAACAAGCCTGTATTTTCTTAATATAAAGTGTGTGCATGTGTGCTAGGTTTGCTGTGTGTAACATTGTAAAAGGTACAATAAGAAACACTTGCCTTTTCCCCATTCCTACTTTTTTAAGGTGAAATTCCAACATGAGGTATACCCATCAGGAGAACCAGAGTATGAGGTCAACCCATTGGAGTTACCAGTGTCTCGGCAGGTGTTCATGGTTCAAGATCTTGAGATCAGAGATCGCTTGGCTACATCACAAATGAACAAATTTCTCTACCTATATTGTAGTAAAGAGATGCCAAGGAAGGCACATTCTAATATGGTATGGCTGTAAAACTCTTTGATGAAAATTGTAAACAGGGGAGTGCGGGTAGGTGAAATTCCTCTACATGTGACTCAAGTGCAGTGACGAAGTATGTATTCCATCACAGTTGTCTCCATTCTTCCACTGGGAGTTGAAAAGCAATTAAAAATAGAACTCACAGATAATCAGGTCACCTTTTGCTTCATGTTTTGTTTAAACCTTGGATTTCTGCTGCCTAGAAAGATATACACAAAAAGAATGTCCAAGAGGAAACCAGATAATGTATTTTAATTGTTAATTAAATTAGCTGTTACTTTTTAACCATTGTTAATTGTTTGATTATTCTGCTGTTAGAGGGATAGGAATACATAAACCAAACAGTCCCTCACACCTGAAGCTGCCCTACTTTAAAGTTGCTTCATAGTTAGGGTAACTCTTTAGGATCAGACCATGATGTCCTTCATGTTGTTGGGGCTTTGAAAAATGTCAATTGTGAGCATTTCCTAGGTGGTATATACAAAAGGAACAGTTAGCTTATCTACTATCATCCTTAGTGAGTTTTTCTTTCCCATTTGATTTTGTGTCCTTCAGTTGACAGTCAAAGCACTACATGTCCGTCCAGAGTCAGGCCTGTCACCACAGGAGTGTTGTTTACGAGTATCATTAATGCCGCTTCGCCTCAATATTGACCAGGTTGGTTTCGCAAGTGTATATGGAAAAAACAAATACAGATTTCTGTAATTGGTTAACACCTACTGGAGAAAAAATAATTATATTATTGCCTTTCTATATTTCTACAGCAAAATAAACATTTTTGTACTTTCTCTATGAAAGCTTAGATTGGATTAAGTTTGCAATTACATTAATACATTTGCCATTATTATATGAAGAACCTACCTGAGTATGTAACAAATCAGCTAGACCTTTTAAAACTGAAAAGTAATTATGCTTTTTAAAATAAAAACCAGAGCATATGTAGAGATGTCAGTCTTGCTAGTGTTGTTCACTGGAGAAATAAAGGCAGATTATATGGGGTGGGAGGGTCCTCCAGCGATGTTTGCACAATATCTCTTTTTACACAGAGATACTTTGTACCTCCCATATAAGTTAGCATTGAGAGTGCCATTTTCTTGGCTGTAGATTTTTTGGGAGTGGCATGATGGCGAATTGATTTTTTAATGTATGTGATATACAGATGAGCATGCATTCTCATATATGCTCTCCCATCTTTCCTTTCTTCCATGTAACTCAAAGCAGTAATGTAGGCTTCTCAAGTGCCCTCCCTTGTCCATGGCTGATACAGCACTTTGATACTCAGTGCACTTTTTTGTACAATCTTTAGATTGTTTATCCTCAGAAGTTCTATTTTTGAAATGAAGTACTAGCGGCAAGATAAGAAAAAGAACCCCTGCTATAGCCAGCACAGTACTTTATTGTTACATTTGCAAAGAAACAGAATGTGCAATGTTGTTAAGAATTATATAACAGTTATTTTTGTATCAAACTAATACATGCTACTTTTATATTATAGGATGCCCTGTTTTTCTTGAAGGATTTTTTCACTAGCCTGTCTACTGAAGTAGAAATCCTGATGACTCCAGATCCTGAAGGTAAATCATCTGACAGATGTACCTTCTGAATATATACTCAACATGTATTATAAATTAATACACAGGTAATGATTTTAACAACTGCTGTATGCACATATTCTGTTGACTGCCTTGAATTTCATCATGAATTCATTATTTACAGTTAAAAAGACTCCTGGTGCTGAAGTAACATGTACGTTACCCAGGCACTACAGTGGTTTCAAGGAGCCAAGCCCAGTCATTTCTTTCTCATTACACAAACAATTGAGCCAGAACGGAAGCATGGATTCTGTGGATGTACTCAATGGGGATGACCACAGTTTCACACATGATGAGTCATCGTTCGGTGATCAGCCAATCTTTTTCAGGTATTTTGGGACACTTTAGATCAATGAGAACTCATTCTACTGTTTTGTGAATTCTGATTTCTGCAGATTATAAGTTTAGCCATAAATTAGTGGATTTCCATGTAGTTGTCTTAGTCCAGACCCCTATATGTGTGGTAATACCTATATACATATATACAGAGCCTCTTGGAGAAAGCGGCAGTAATGCTTAACTAATCCTTTGAATTAGGGATGCCATTTTAAAGAAAAAGTGTAGATCTTTGATTCTCAGAATTCAGGTTGGGTCTTCCTTGCAAAGTATGGGCAATTAGAAGGGGAGATGGAGAAAGGACCAAAAGCAGACAAAAAGTGTAAGCAGTGTAAATGCAGAGAACCAAATATATAATCATCTTAAAACAAGTCAAAGGGCATCAAAAGGCTATCAGAACAGTACAATTCTTACTGCCAGTTGAAACTTGGTAAAGGTGGTGCTATCATGACTTCCTGAAAGGGGGTTTCCATAGTTGGAATGCTGCTACAGAAAAGTCCTTGTCTCATGTACCCACCACGCTAGTCTTATTGATGGAACTTGCAGCAGGGGCACTAGTAAAGATTGTAAATTATGGGCAGGCTTGTACAGAAAGAAGTGGCTTTCCTGACACTAAGCTAGGTAGGGCTTTATAGCTCAAAACCAGGATGGCTCAGAAAGAAATTGGAAGCCAGAAATTGGCTAAAGACCTGTAGTGCATGGTCTGCAGTAAGGAAACATTTTTGGAATGGCTTTCAGTATATGTCCTGAGAACTGTATGCCAACTGTGACTACAGCTGAAAGCAGCCATGCCCTCCCCACTCACACATTATTTGCTCCAGCATGTGCTCATGTCCTTCTGCCTGATTCATGCAAGTCAGCTGAAAGGGAGGCATTTTCCTGCTCAGCATGAGGAAAAGGACAGTTGCATCCAGCTTGACATGGAGACTCCAGCATGGAGGCTGTGGGCATCCAAAGGAAATGTACCCACTAGAATCTGTCTCGCCCAACAGAAAAAAATCTTGTTTATTACGATTTTTAACATTGATAAAACTTGGGGGGGGGGGCGCTACCATGCTGCAAAGCAAAAAGCTGCCCTCAAATACCATCCTTTTCTGGGTTCCAATCAGTGCTTTTGTCTTTTGGAGCTCAGATACTGCCTTTGTCTTAGTTGAATCTTTTAAGTATCAGAAAGACTAATGGCTTAAGACTGGATTTTATGACACGAAGCCTGGCAACTGCTATGCATGACCACTTAGTAATTATCTGGAAGTTATTGCTACAGTAACCCTGCAAGTGTTCAGGAATGTCCTTTTTAAACTTCTGTTACTCCAACTAAGAATAAATGGTTGGGATTTTACCTACTGTTTTGTGGTTTTGCTTTTTCACCTTACTACTTTTCTTTCCCTTTTAGAGAATTTCGATTTACATCAGAAGTTCCTATACGCCTTGATTACCATGGCAAACATGTTTCAATGGATCAGGTTTGTTAAACCTTGTTATCTGCTTAGATAAAGTGAGTATTTTGGTGTTGGTTCTTTCCAGTAATCATATGGTTTTGCATTGATAAGTTCAGTCCAAAGTTGGAAATATAAAACATTGCTTCTCTATTTTTGAAATAAAGCCAAATTATAAGTAAATTGGCCTTGTAAGTAAATAAGGATGCTTTCAGACAGAGGGCTGCTACTGTCAACTATCAAAAAAGCCGTAGCTCATTATTTTGATTGTTTTTCCTTTTTCTGGCAAGAAAAAAGGAAGGATGAAGTGGTGAAAGAAGTGGGAAGGCTACAAAAGGAAGATGTTGTCTGGACCTGTCCATAAAATTCCTTGAATGCCCAGGGCATTTGTCAGAAAGCACCCACAGTTAACAAAAGCTAACAGTATGCAAAGATTATCATCAGCCTATTTTCCCACACTTCACTGCTTTTAGTTATTTGTGGTTAAAAAGAACAAGTCGCCAAGTCCTAGAAAATTTTCCTGTTTCATCACTTGAAAATGCTCACCACAGATGACTAGCAGGTGAAGCAATGAGCCAGTCATTCCCATGCTGCTCATAGTGTTTCGGTTTGTGACTACGGAAGTTAGTGGAGGTGGCCGATTGTGAGTCCATTTCCTGTGTCTCCCTCACCATCAACAGCTAGCTAGTGTAGGCAGTTGCTCTTTGAAAGCATTCCAACACTCGGTTTTTTTCCAAAGACAGCAAAAGGTCTTGTTAAAGTTGCACCAGAAAGATAATTTTTGTCATTCGGAGAATGTGAAGTACTAAGTGGGCCTCTACTGAAGGATGTGGCAGCATAGATGGCAAAATGGGTGACTGTCTGCAAGAATAGATGAGGTTTGACCTGCCCTGTCAGTCAAAGCTCTATACTAAGACTTTCCTGAGCGTGTAGCATGCTTTCCTTTCTATTCACCTAGTTAAAAGAGACTCCCCAATAGCTATCCAAGCTGTGTTGCAGCTTTCTTCCTCTGACAGACATGTATGAAGCAGTCAGAAATCCAATATGTCATCAGTGTCAGAATTATTTTGTGGCAATACAAAGCATTTTTGTTTGATAATAAATGCAATGTAGGCATTACAAACAAGAAGAGATTGTTACAGTTAAGTTACAGATTTCACCTTTTCTATTTTTAGGGTACATTAGCTGGGATTCTGATTGGTCTTGCTCAGTTAAACTGCTCAGAATTGAAACTGAAAAGGCTTTGCTATCGACATGGGTAAGTTTACTTCAGTTGTCTATTAATAGTGGGAGTTCTAATCGGTTTTTGGCAAAATAAAAAAGAACAGTTTCTTCTGATACTGGAATCATTAAATTCAATTGTGCATAAAATGCAAAACAGTTGTCTGGCTTTCTGAGTAGTAAGTGAAACTGTCTGTTTTTCATACCTTCCTGTCTTCATTTTCTGATAACTCAGCTTTGCTTTATATATACTAATTAAGCTATTTATTACAGGCTGCTAGGTGTGGATAAGCTGTTCTCTTATGCCATCTCAGAATGGCTTAATGACATCAAGAAAAACCAGCTACCCGGTATTCTGGGAGGAGTTGGGCCAATGCATTCTTTAGTTCAATTGGGTAAGTCCATTCAATATTTGTAATTTTAATAAATTTATTCTGAAATTTTTATATAAGTGAAGTTTCAAGAAGAAAAACTTAGCCAAAGTAGTGGTTAACCATCACATTCTGTTTGTAATTACAGTGCAGGGCCTTAAAGACTTGGTGTGGTTACCAATAGAACAATATCGAAAAGATGGCCGCATTGTAAGAGGCTTTCAGAGAGGAGCAGCTTCTTTTGGTACTTCTACTGCAATGGCAGCATTAGAGCTGACAAATAGAATGGTTCAGACCATACAGGTATATTTTTTGTTTAATTTTTGGGATAGACAATGGAGGTTTTTTAAAGCGCACATAATATTTGGAAATAATTTGAAAGTAAGCAGAAGCCTTCACTTGCATAGAAAATGTGGATACCCTTAGCGTCCTCCTTAATTAGGAGAAAGGAAGTATGGCCTGTCACGTTTTGTAACTTCTTGTGCTTGAAATGATGTTCTGGTGAATTAGAAAGCAATGCTGAAAATTGAATGTGGCAGTTGGAATAGTATTCATCGTTATTCAACTGACAGGCAGTGTATGTGAGAAGAGGGATTATATACTGTAGGGGTCCTCGGGGGAAGTGCATTGCAACCTCACATCAGCAGTAGAAGACTGGTATTACCTGCATCACAATATCCTGAGGGGTTAGGGTTCTATCCCTACCAGAAGCTAATGGTTACTATCCACTTCTTTGGAAGAAAGGGATGTAATTTGATACTTTATTGTGATGTGCTTCCTGTCACTGGTAACTTTAGTAATTAAGACCGAACCCTCTTCCTGAGCAGCCTCCTCAACCTGGCACCCTCTCAATTTTTGGGGGCTTCAACTTCCATAGGTTCTAGCCAGCATGACCAGTGCTCAGAAATGCTAAGGACTGTCATTCAGATCATCTGTTAAGGTATCATGCCATGGAAGTCAATTGTAAAGTATATTAAGAACTTGTCTTTTGATATAGTTGGTCCAATGGGCTAATTACAGTGAATTCTCATCTTTAAAAAGCTAGAAAGATTACCATAATGTTTGTGATACTATCATAACTGATTGTTATATTATCACAATTGATTGTGGTAATATATTGGTTTTTACTGGATTACCGAATGCCATGTTAAGAATATATTGTTGCTTTTATTGGAACTGAAACCTAGGCAGCTGCAGAAACTGCTTATGACATGGTTTCCCCTGGGCCTAGTTTAATTGAGACGAAAAAGATCAAGCGGCTTTCTCGCTACCGCTTAGCTCATCAGCCTGTAGACCTTCGTGAAGGCGTGGCCAAAGCATACAGTGTTGTAAAGGAGGTAAGGAAAATGTGGTTGTCATGTGCTCTTTGTATCACAAATATTCATTGTGCCCCAAGATGCAAAATAGTATCTGAAGTGTCAGATTAATGATCATATATTTGCTCAGTCAAAGAATAACAATTTCTTTCCTCATTCCAGAACCATTCCACCCAGAATACCAGTTTTACTCTAATAGGTGCCCTTAGCTGTTAGGGATTCATACCATGCCCTGTGTTCTTCAAGTGACTAAGCTGTAAGAAAGCATTGGGGAGGATTCAGTGAAGTCTGCACACCAGCACTGCTGACGTTGCATTAGCTTAACCAACACTCCAGTAGCATCATTAGTGTTTGCCAGTACAATGAGCTTCCTGAAAATGCCATTGCTCTAGCAAGGACCAGTGGCATTACTTCAGCAACATCAGCAAGGCTAGCACATGAGCACTGTTGGATTCTTCCCCTGGAGACTGCAGTGAAAGTCCAAGAATCATGAACTAGTTCTGTGCATCTGAGAGACTTGGTTTTTTGAATAGCAGTTGCCTTTGCTGCATGAAACATGCTTTGAATCTGATCAAGTGCCAGAAGCTGCTTGTGCTATGTCAGGGGTGTCTGCTGGTAAAAAAGTCAAAAGCCCCTCTGGGCATACCCAGGCCTTTGGATGACCCTCAGTTAGCTCTCTGGATATTCTCCTTAGTGTGCTTCTTAACCTGATCTATTTAAGACACACGTTTGCTACTCTTGAAAATCCTTTAAGAAATATATTGTAAGTAATTTAGTAACCATGCTTGGTGTGTGTGCTGTGTCAGTGTGCACGTTAACTTTTCTGACATTTTGTCTTGGGGATCCACACTCATTATTTGCCTACACGATTTGTGTAAGGCAGGGATGGGCAGCATCCAACCCCTGCTGTGGTACACAGAGCCCTCTGAAATTTCAAGAACAATTTCCATCCAAATTGATTTGTGTTTGTGAGCTGCAGCTGAAACTTTGGGCTCTCTGTAGAAGCTCCGGAGAGCCCAAGGGATTAAATTCACTTTTCCATCATAAGTAGCTCTCTGTAGTTTTCTGGAATGGTTTGCCATAGGTTCAGGGCTTTTTCTTTTTGGGAGCCCTGTGCAGCCCTGCACTGTACCCAGCAGATTGTTGCCCACAGTGAAAGAGTGAAAACTGTTTCAAACTTCAGCTGGTCCTGAATGTTGCATTTAAGACTGTTGCCCTCAGAAGCATGTTTGGTGGCAACACAAACAGGGCCTTCCTGGTCATGGTTCCCTGCCTGTGAAACTCCACGTCAAGGGAGGCTGGGTTCTTCTAAACTTCTGTTAACAGGCGAAGACCACTTTACATACTAATAGTGCAGTTAAATAACCAGGCAGTTGGGCTGGAGACTGCTTTTACTGTTACTCTATTGTGTTTGTGTTTAACAAATTTGCTTTTCTACTTTTTCAATTGTTTGTAGTGATTGTAAGCCACTTTGAGTGCCAGTTTTGGTAGAACTACAGGTTCAAATAAATAGTCTTCACATAGGCAGTAACTATTAATCAAAGAACTATTCATCTGTCTGCATAGTAATGTCACAGTGTTTTGTGATCTCTGTGAAGTCAGATACACAAGATTTGCTATTGGGCAGAGCTAGCATTGGAAAATTCCAAAGACTGGGAAACTGACACTCATCCCATTTCCCCCAAGAAGGCAGACTTCATTGCAATGCATGTCTTAAAAGGTGGAATTGAACATATTCCTTGCCTGTTTCTTCCTGAACTTTTCAGCAGCTAAAGAAAACTTTCCCAGAGAAGCAACCTTGCTGTAATGTCAGTTATGGCCGTTTGCGTTCCCTCTGTTCTCTTCTATGGCTCGTGGTTTAATCATATTTCTTCAAAGGAAAATAAAATTAAACCAAATAAATTGAAAACGGAAGTCTGAAAATTGGCCAGAAAATCCAATAATACACACATAATCAAAACTGAACACTGTCATTAAGACAATTAACATTGAGAATTAACCATCAAACAAAACTTACAGAGTAATCAAGAATGATCAGTTATATGTTAGAACCATGAACCATTAATAAATGAGACTCTATTCATTCATCTCTCCATTATGGACGTGTCATTTTCTCTATGTTTATTGTCTTGGACAATTTTCTGCAAAGCAGTGGAAGTTACATACCTGTTACACAGTAACTGTCTTTCAAAAGTGAACAGGCTTGTGGAGGAAAACTCCTGATCACTGATGGCTAGAACGGCTGCATCTTGCTCCTTCACAAGCTCTGTTGCAATGCGTAGACATCCATCAAAATAAGTGTTTTGGCATGTTGTGCCTTTGCAGGTGTCCCAGTAGACCACATGCTGCATTTCACCACTGGGTAACATTCACCTCCTTTGATGAAAGCATCTTGCTGAGCTTATAGGACTCACAAGGCCATTGGGATAATTGGCCATTGTGATGATAATTCACTGTGTTGCTGCTCTGTGGGAAAGCAGTGGCAGTCCACCTTTGTCGCAGTTGATAATGGGAGCACTGGGGATGTAATAGAGGTGTGTGTGTGTGTGTGTGTGGGGCGGGGGTGGGGGGGGGAATGACTGCAAGCAATACTAGAGCCTAGAAAACTTGATGACCTGAAACAGTCTACAATGAAGTTTCAGTAGGGGAGACACTGCAGCTCAGCTTACCTGATGTTCTATTTTTGTGACTCTCTGAAGGGAATTGCAGATACGGCACATACCATCTATGAAACTGCTGCTCGTGAGCACGAGAACAGAGGGGTAACTGGAGCAGTAGGAGGAGTTCTCCGACAGATCCCACCAACTGTGGTGAAGCCTCTCATAGTTGCGACAGAGGCAACAGCAAATGTTTTAGGTGGTATGAGGAACCAGATCAGGCCTGACGTGCGACAGGAAGAGTCTCAGAAATGGCGCCGTGGAGAAGACTAATAGCTTAAACAAGTTTGATGGGAATCTGAAGCATGAAACGCTTATCCTCATGGCAGCTTTAGATGGAACATATCCTTTTAATATGCTCATCTCAGGAACACAGAAGATTGCAAAGCAATTTGATGTCAAAACCTGAAATGTTCAAGTAGAAAGCAAGTTTGGTACTTGAGTCGTTGGCATAGTGCATGCTACAAAGACTTGCTGGTCATTGCCAAATGGAGTGGCACCTTTTCTGCCAAATCCAGGACATGCTGGGTTTAAACTAGCTATCATATTTCCCTTGGTATCTTGATTTCTGTTGGGTATTTTTGCTTTTGTTTTAAAGCAACTGCACTTGCCCTACTTATGAGTGTACATGTGTGTTTAAAGGTATTCCTCAAGCATGGTCAGAGATTGTTTCTTAGCAAAGGGCTACATCAGTGCCCTTCTGAAACAGGGTAGATGTCTGACACAAGACATAAATACTGCAGGATATTAAAAAGTAACCAGGAACTCAACTATTTTGCTAGTCATGGGCATTTGCCTCTCATGTGACACTTAATAACAAGGACAATCTGTTTCAAAACCTGATTAAAAAGGATGTTTTCATACAATTGTGGAAATTAATTGTTTTGCCTACATGTTGAATTCCTCCTTTTGTGGAGAGTTGAGCAATCTGAATGTTGCAGACATGTTCTGTTGTGTTGCACTTTAAAGAAGTTAGCCTGTACATTGCTTTTTTAAAATAGTTGTTAATAAAATGTAATGTGCATTTTATCCAAATATGATTTAAAAGCTTATGCAGATTATTTAAAGAGACAAAACACTACAGGGTCATTGATGACAATAAACATTAAATGCAGTTCTTTCAGTTATTTATGTCACTGTGTAGCAAAAATGTCTATTGAATAATAAGTTTTTCACACATTTCTGTGCACCTCCACCCCTGGAAATGGCTGTTGTATTTTTTTGTGGGGGGGGGGAATGTGAGTTCATTATTCAGTTTAAGTGCTATGCAAAGCAAGTCCCATCTTGTTAATCCATTTTAAACTCTTTCAGATATCCGAAGATTTTAAAACTCATTTGCCAAGCTGCCATTTCACTTGATCTTAATGTTTTAAGTCCTAATGTGTGTACTTCTTCATTTGAATCCGAGCCCATAGCTCAGAAATAATAGACAGGAGAACGGAGAAAGACTGATGTAGATTCCTGTCGCCCTGCTCCTCCCCCAAAGGCTGCTGTATCATTGAAACTGCAGTGAATCTTCTTTAGCAGTTTCTTCATAACAACATAGTCTCATTAATCATTTGTTAATTTAGGTATCCAGCAAGTAAATCAGTTGCTGTCGTTATAAGCTACTTCGATAGGCAGCATGTACTTTGAATAAAGTCCTCTGGGCAGAGGCACCCAGCTTCCTTGTCTCCGTGTGTAGAAAGAGGAAGAGACTATTTTGTATGGCTGGTAGGCCAGGTGCTTGTAGGGCACAGAACAACTGTGGGTAACTATGTTGCCTGAACTGCAATGCAATGTCAGCTGTGTATTTGTAAAACATACAAGAAATTGCATATTAGATCAGTACTTTTGTTTCTGATACTACCATATGTTCATGTTTCTGGCCACTTGTGCAATATGCACATTCTTTGCCCATCATTTTGTTTTAGGTAACCATATCCAACATGAGCCTATGGTCTATATCCACACTTGTGTAGCATTCCCAGCCCTTATTCACCTTGTTTTGCCTGCCCTTGGGAACATACAGAATGCTAAGTAGTATATTCCAGGTACCTTGTCAAAAGCTTTTATGTAAGATAGTCATTCTCCAGTTCACAGCAGTAATTACTATATTTACACTACAATAATGACTGCTTCATTTTTAAAAAAGGTATCTTAAAGGTAATACATTTTGTTGATAAGAGACATGTATACCATTTGATGTGTCACTGTTGGCAGTATTTACAGATTGAATAATAGAAGTTCTAATTAAGATGGATGCCAGACCAATTTATATTAGAGTTAATTGAAGCTTGACAGGCCCTCAAAGATCTCCTGCTGCCTGGGTTCACATAATGCGAAAGTCACCCACAACCTCCTGGCACAATGCAACGGCCCCCATGGATAAATTAAGCTGCAATTGGCTGCTGTAGCATCCAGCAGGCACATTTTCTATCCCTATGTGTACCATACACACTGCCACTTAAGCTGGCAAGTCATTCATGCGTTGTGCTGGATTACTAGACTGTATGAAGCTCAACCAAATGCACAAGTATCATGCTTAAAAACCAGTTTCTATACTCTCAACTTGGGAAATTCTGCCTCTGGGGCACTTAGCCAACTGGACTGGCCCAACATGTACCAGACCAGAAGGAAGACAGTATACAAATAGATCAGCATGCAATAATGAGCACATGTAGGTTAGATATAGCCTATTGGCTAATGGCCAATAGGACCTGGGTTTGCATACAGGGCTCAACCATGGGACTGTATGCAGAGGAAAAAGATGGATCCTAGTGCAGCTTGCTTGGCATAACCAACAGAAACTTATTTCATGGCCAGTTTCCTGATTCAGGCCAGATACCTGTATACATCCTTCAGGGAGAAACTGACCAAAGTATGTTGTCCATCAACAGGTCTTGGCTTAAGCATCAAGATTTCAATGGAACTTTTGAGAACCTTAGGAAAGCTGTACTATTCATAACTTACAAGATGCAATGTATTAAGTGAAAGTAAAATATTGTGTCCTCTACATAGATTGTGTCCTATTAAATCTCTACATAAGGGTTGTTTTCCAAAATGAGTTCACATCATATTGACAGTCTCTCACAGTTTTGATTCTCCTCAAGCTTCGCTGGTATAGTCAGGGCTTTTTTTTTTTTTTTTTTCATA